TGAGGGAGAAGAGTTAGGAATTTTCTCATCTAAAAGAGAGTTTGAGTTTGCTTGTTACACTAAATATTCTAAAATTTTTAAAATGAAGTCTGTTTTGTCAAAGCCATAGCTTCTGTTTTTTTGTGAAATGTTGCTGATTCTAATAGGGTAATAGATTATCAGTTTATTAAAGTTTGGAATAGGTGCATTAGTTAAATGGATTGCATGTCAGGAAAAGGGCATTCATTTTCCCTTCATTTTTAGGGGGTAAATATTTGTGTTCAGGAAGATAATTTTGCTGAGAAGACATGCAGGATTAAAAGTTTTCCTTCAAGTAGCTACTGACCAGTTTCCTACATATCTTAGCCTATATATTATAAATCTCCTCTGTTACCTTGTCAATAACATCACCTGCAAGTTGAGCATCCTTTTGAAGAAGCAACTCAGTCTCCAAGGCAGCTCAGCTTACTGTTGCTTCTGACTAGAACAATAAGACGTTTTGTCAACAATATATGCAATGATTACAAAAAGTCAACTACTGTTGATACGTTTCCTTTAGAGCAGCCACAAGTTAGCTTACCTATCTCTTACCACAACTAAAAATATTAAAATAGAAGCAAAATATCCTTGAGACAACTGTTTTTATTTTAACTTTTTTCACTTCTCATATCTAGAATGAAAATTACGTTATGAGTAACGTCTGTCTCTAACTTTCCTGGATCAACTAAAGAAAGATACTTGTAACGTTAAAGTTGTGTTTAAAATGATGCAGTACCCTCAGGGCAGAGACCGTATTTCCATACTGTTTTACAGTATCTTGAGGAACAGATTTCTACCTCAAAAGCAGAGCTTTAAAAGAGTTTCTAGTGATTCTGCAATAACAAACCAAAATATATGGCTGAAAGTAATTTAGAAGAAAGAAACTCTTAACTTAAAAGCAATTTCAGATTTCTGTGGGTTATATGTAAAGAAATAAAGTTGTAAAAGTATGAAAAATAACATGAGAACATCTTTTAATATTAGGTTAGGTGCAATGAAACAACCCTTTGCTGTATGATGATCATATAAAATGCAAGCAATGTCATTTAATGTTGCCAGTAGTGCTTTATTATTTCAAGAGAAAAGGAATATAGTGAAATGAATTTAGAAGGGGTTATGGAGAGTGGCAGCAGTAATAATATACATGTTTGCACATTACTATAATTAACAACACAGGTTACAAATTTTAAAAAGCAACATATTTGCTTTATTTTTAACAACGTTTCTGACTCAGGAGTGATTCCATTGATGCACTCAGCAGAAAAGTATATCCCAGTCTGCTCTTTAAATCTGAACCCACTAAAAGGAGAAACACTATGACCAAAGGTAAACACTTTAATAGGAAAAAGGCCTTTAAAAAACTCTAGAAGGCAGTTTAATCCAAATCTGGAATAACTATGGATTAAGAATGCATTGCTTATTAGTATGTGCTCCCCTCCTTTAATACTAGTACCGATATGCTTTGGACTCTCGTTCTCTCCAGCACTTATGCTTAGTCTAAGGTGTTACAGTTGCTATTTTTACTTTGACACACAAGTTTGTGGAGCACCCTTGTATCATTCCTTCTAACAGTTTGCACACTTGTTTTCTTTCATTTCGTTCTAAAGTGTGATTGCTAAATGTACAGCTGTGAATGGAAAAAGGGAAAGTGAAGTACAATAAAGGCTTGTACTTGAACTAAGTTGAATTTTGCTTACTTTCAGTTGCAATAATATACACAGTAGACTGATGAATGAATTATCTGCTTTAAAATAGCTGCATGTGCATTTGCAGCAGTCTTCTATGCAAATCGGATACTTATGCACACAAGTTATTCTGATTAGGTAAAGGAGTCTATGATGACCTAATGTGCATGTTCAGCTATAGCATACCTCTACATTAGCATGATAACTGTGTGTGTCTTTTGTATGCAAAAGGGCATGCCCAATTTGATTGAAAATCAGATTGTTTATTATCTCCATACTGCTTTACTATACTTTTAATTGGAATTTACAAGTTACTGACAGAGCCTTAACTTTAACTCATAAAACCATTCTCAAGGTATAAGGAACAATTTTCTGAAAACATGAAATAAAAGTTTTTAAATTAGTATACATATTCTTTAAATAAATTTAATTTTCATATCATTTTTATAACTTTGGAAATGGAAAACATCTTCATGTATGACAATAAATGCCTGCAATCAATACCATAACATTAACAACTTTGACAAAGTCATTAGATCCAAAACTTGTTCTCCTAGCATCACAAAAAAAAGATACTTTCAATATCTCACTGTACTGGGACAAAAGGAGGTTGAACTTCCGACACAGCCGAATTTGATAATACCCTTGCTAATATGCAAAAGAAACAGTAGATAAATTGTGACTCAACAAGAGAAACAGACTTACAGCTGTCGATAAAGCTGTACTTCAAAGGTGAACAATAAAGTTTATATAAGGTCCTCTGTCAGAGTACAGTCAGTAAAATAAAACCGATAAGCTGATGAAATGCTGCTTGCACCTGGACCTTCACCCTTTGGCTCTAGGAAAAGCAGTTGCTGAACTAACATGTGCCTTTAAAAAAGGGAACCCCTTCAAAACAATATCCATAGCAATATAGACTACTCAAGCAAGGTGAAGACAGACAGACAGTCATTGTAGCTAGTATAAACTATTTATAACTATGCATGATGACCAGTTTTGTTAATAACCAATATGGAATAGATATATGGATGTGAACTAGTAGTAGGAATGGAAAATTTGTTGAAAATTCTATCACTTCACATTATTAACTTGAAAAAGAACCCACTTCAGTAAAAAATTCTACTGATGGCTGAAGACCTTGCATAAGGCCAGGACTCTCAATACTGAAATACATTAGAGCTCGGATTTGTTTATCTGCTCGTCTTTTTAATGCTATTAAGAAACATTGGGTAGAAAGGGATACAGTCACACATTGTCCTCTTGCTTATGTTGATAATACATAGCACAGGCCACATTTGTGCTGGAAGTAGGATTTCTAAAATCTGAATATACACTAACAAATGAATCTGAATACTTTTGCACTATGCTTTGTACTGGGAACATAAAATTTTCCCACAATTAGTATTTTGTCTATAGCAAAAAGAGTCATTTTCTCACTGTCTTTATTAAGATAAATCCCAAGTGATGTGGGAAGTCAGAAACGCAATTACAGAAACTTTTGCATATAGTTCCACCTATAAAAACAATACAGTGGAAAAATTTGCAGTTTCAGAAACAAGCCTTGCTTGAACCACCAGGTCATTATTTACTAGGGAACAAAAAGATGAAAAAACACTCACTTCATGTACTCGCTTCAAAATATTCCAATGACAGGGTTAATGACACAGGTAGACATGCCCATTGACTCATTAAATTGAATGGCAAGACACAGCTAAAAGTTAATTTTCCTTTACTCTGTGCTTAGGCAACTAGTTATGACAACGTTTGTCTCATTTATTCCCAACCTAAAGCTCAGCTGATCTTTCAGTTCAAATTTGTTGAGGCACTTTTGTGCAGACTTGCCATTTTCCAAAGCTCTGTAGCTGTAACAGCTCATATTGTTTGTAGCTCTAGCCCTGGGATGGACTTGCAACAGGTAAATTAGTCCATTACAGTGCAATAGTCACTACAGATGTTTTGCTACACAAATATGTACATAGGTAGACTATTAACCACAACATTCACTCACAGACAATGTGCGAATAATCAATAAATACACTTCTTGGAGTTTAGGAGAAAGAACCCCTGCAGAAAGATGCTCCTCTATGTTTGATGTAACATTTTGAAATACGTAATCTCCAGTGTAATAGCTATGGCTGCGTACGCTATCCAGTATGGTAAAAAATACACTGAAGAAGCGCTGCTCGCTCTGAGGCATGGCTGTGCAATTTGCAAACATTTACTTTAGGAATACCATGAAGAAAAATTTGAGGCTGGAATTGGAATGAGCTATGCTATTTGGATCTACATCCCAACTGAGGTTATCTGAGGGAATGTTTTAGTCTATTATCAAGATACACCGTAGCAATCAAGAAACATATTTGAATCCTGTTCTAAAATTTCTCACAGTTCAGCAGTGTTAGGAGTTGGGATTTTTTTTATCCCAACATCAGATGATGATACTATAAGGAAGTGAAAGAAAAAGTTTAATACCACATTATTTAAAAGAAGTGCAGCCTACATTGAGAACACATCACGAGGTTTAATATCCAACTCTTCCTCTCTTATTCCAAGAAGATCATTTAGACTTCTGGTGTCTCTGATACTCCCGCTACAGAAGGAGAATAAAATACCTACCTCATAAAAATGCTGGAGAAGTTCATTAATCTTTGTGAAATGGACTGAGATTCTTGGGTAAATGCTAACATTACCGGGAGTATGCATTCCAAAACATTTGATATACTGTTATAACTTTGAGAAATTCCAAAGCAGTGTTGCCTTTTAATCTTCCACATTCTTTGCAAACAAATGGAAATACAGCAAATATAATTTTGGCTTACCATTTAAAAATTGTATCCTAAATTACAATCTCTCTTTTTGCAGCTATCCAATTCACCAGTTGCAATTAATATAATGGACACTTCTAGAGAACTACAGGTCAGCTACCCTGCTCTCAGTTCCCCGAGAGACTATGGAGCAAATCCTCCCGGAGATCACGTTTAGGAACATGAAACGAGATGACTGGGAGCAGCCAGCACAGTTTACCAGGGCAAACTGTGCCTAACTAACCCGATATTCTGCAGTGAGATGACTGGCTCTACGGATAAGGGGACAGCACTGGACATCGCTTACCTTGACTTTAGCAACGCTTTTGACATGGTCTCCCACTGTATCATTATAGCCAAACTGCAGAGATACAGACTCGAAAGACTTTACTAGATACTAGATTTTCGGATGTAAGCTACATGCACAAAAACATATCTGTGAACACTTTTATGTATAATTAGCTGGAATATGAAAAGGGCTAATATCCTTTACCTTAAAATAGGAGTGGAAGGTACTAAGCCACTTCCAGGCCTGTCCAGTTACAAACAGCACATCACAAAACTTGAGCCAGTGACTGTAGGCCCCTTAAAAGATAAGAAAATGTATTTAGCATGTTTAAAAATTAAAAATATAATTACCAAAGAACAATTTCAGAGGTTAAAACTGAACAATGGCTAATACCCTTTAAGATTTAGAATATGGAGAACATGCAGTAGTAACTTTCAGTCGGACATGTATTATTTTTCTATATAACTAAGTGGCACTAAGGATAATGCAGATTCATCATTTTGATCCACTGTGTTTTTCACATTGATTTTTCTCACTGATGTTTGTTTGCCTTAAATAGGAATCAGGCACGTATCTCTACCGCAGCAGTCAGCATGGGAGTTTACAAATAGTGGGTAGAAAATAAAAATGGTACAGTCTGATCCAATTCTCTTTCCTGGAAAGCATCGGAACATATTCTTGAAATGGTGGTATGGGACACTGACACACACTGCTCTGTTTCTGCTGTTTTTTTATTAACAAATTTCCATTCCACACAACAATAAAAAAAGCAACAGAAATATCAAAAACACTGAAAGAGAAAAGAAGGAGGAAGGGGAAGTTGACACAGGAATAAACTAGGGCTAACTGCAAGCAGAGAACTTCCCAACAATCAACACTGGAGATGCATCAGTTTACACTGGATCTCTGTTCGGCCTTGAGAGTCTAAACCACTTGGGCAAATATTTTATTTAAAATATAGAAGCCTGCGTCAAGTAACAGCGCACAGGACTGTCACAAAGACTGCCTTGATCTGCCTGCTATAGTGTAACTATGACAAAATTCTTGGAACGTACAGAAACAGCATCTTGCCGTTTAGGGACAAAATTTAAGTGTAAGTAAACAGGTATGCTTTCTGAATCAAAACGCCTATTAATCACACATTTTCATAACATAAACATTATTAATAAAAATCAGGGCTGCTGGCTTATTTCTGGATAGTAATGTTTTCACTCCTGTCTGCCCATCAAATGTTGCAGCGATTTACTAGCACATTAGACCCCAAAAATAAAATTTTGTGAATCAAAGAGTTTTATTCTTCTTTATAAATTTGGTCAGTAAAGGTACTCATAAGTGCAAATTATATTTCACATTCTATGAAACTAGTAGAGAAAGGCGTTGGTATAAAGGAGAATCAAGTTAAGTGAAAAGGAAGACATTAGAAGAGTAAACAACAAGAAGTTTTATTTAAATGTTTAAATTTCTTCAAATATCTAAAATGTTATTGAGTGTTAAAGATAAAAACAATATGACAATGTTGACTAAGTGCTGCTTTGACATCTAAATCACTTTTTTCATACTGGTAGGCTTATTCTGTAATTAAATCTTTCTTTGCAAGTAATGAAGCTCCATGTGGATGTGTGGATATGTGTGTGGATGTGTGGATATGTGCGCTTGACCATCGTTGTGCTACTGAGGTAGCACAGCTACTCAGCTGTAGTTAACTTTTTTTCTTGTGAAAATATTTTCATCTGAGAGTAGTGGAAGTATTTATAAAACGAGCTCTAAACAAACCGTCCACTTCTTTATACCCCTGAACTCTGATCTGCAGTGCTATGATTGCAAGCCTAGATGTGCCAAATGCAAGCATTGCTAATTATTCAAAAATGTTTAACAATATAAAATAGTTCCACTTTAGCTGTGTGAAGAGCAAAAATGGAGAAAAGGATGAGATCCACGCTGCAATTTGTCTTACGAAGTGAGAAGTTGTCTCCTCACTGGAAATTTGCCTTACTGATTTATCTAACTGTTTATATCATCATTAATTCTATTAAAAAGTACATTGAAATCGAAGTACTTTATGCTTTTGGTCCATTTTGGATGTCATCGGTATTTGGAAATATTTGTCTTATCATCATCTCTGGGTGTAAGCTGTAAGAAGAAAGGCCTAAATGGATTCAAAACTTGTAATCTAGCCAATTAAAAAAATAGTTAATGGAGGTTCATACTCAACATTTGTCCTGGATGCATTTATCAGTTCTGCATTCTGCATTGAGTTTAAGTAGTCTTCTCTTGTCCAATGCTGTATAAAACACCTATATAAAGAAAACAGTAAGTGACTGACCATAAGCCATAGCACAACAGTGAAGTTGACAGAAAGCACTGTCAAATGCCCTTAGTAAACAAATTTTCCATCTTATAAATTTCAGATGTTAGTAATCTCAGTTGTTATTTGTAACAGAAACAGATAAAACTACATAGTGTTTGGTGTTTGGTTATGAAATTTTCAGCGTCCCTTGAAGGGGGCTTTCTTGAATTTGTTGCCACATTTTTGCCAATTTTACATGGGAAATTATTTCCCCAAATCAACATTTTAGAAAACTTTACGGCTCACACTAAGCCTTGTATTAGGCTGGTGTAATTATGCTGTTACGTCTGCCATCATTAGAGGTGACTTTGGTCACCAGTCGTTGATAGTGGCACGCGTAACAGTTTCCTGTCACAGGGCTCCTTCTGCTTTGCATCTGCAGCGATGAAGCGCATATACTGGTTGGGTCCACTGTTGGACCATCTCTGTCATTTACCAAACACAGACAATCTTGCAAAGCACCTGGGTAACGACTGCTCTCGCTGATGCTCACACGAACCACTGAAGTCCGTAAAGATTGCAAAAGCAAAAACTGAGGGGAGAATTTGGCTTCTGATGTATCCAGCTGCCTAACCACGTGTTGTCACACGGCAATTAAGGGAGCTGGCAGTTAATTTCCCTGTGATTCTGTCTCCTCTTCTGTCAGTCGCTTGTTCTAAGTACGTGGGTTAGATTATCAATGGTCGGTGCCTCAGTTTACCATTAGGAACACTGATACATTAACACTAGGAAACTGGGAGATTTAACGCACCAAGGTTTGTAGAAGACTACGAAACCCTTGGGTAAAACACTCTAAGTGCAAAGTATGATTTTTCTCACACTGCTGCGTTGTCGCTGCGCAACAGCGAGCTGCACCGGGACGCGTCAAGTTCCTCGATCTCCGCTCGCACAGAGGTGAGCGTCAGGAGCGACACGCGTGCCTCCTTCCAGCCGGGTAACCCCAGCTCTGCGGGGCGAGGTTACTCACTAAAAATAGTGCTGCATCAGGAGCAGATTCCTCAGAAGCCACAACACGCCAGGCCGGTGCATCTCTGTGGCGACACCAAACGCAGCCGCAAGCAGAAAGGAGCAGCACCGCTCGGCTTTCACATCATCATCATCATCATTATTATTATTACCATTATTATGATTATTATTATTTTTCCCCGTGGCAGCAGCACCACCTCGGTTAGAGCAGAGCGGGCACCAGCCCCTT